CGCAGAGCGGGGCTGTCTCCCGTCCACCTTCCGCAGAGCGGGGCTGTCTCCCGTCCACCTTCCGCAGAGCGGGGCTGTCTCTCCCGTGACGCTCTCCGGGGTGTGCGGTGTCCCCCGTGACGGCCCCTCCCCGCAGGCTGTCTCCCTTGCTCAGATTCCATTTCCATTTACCCTGCCATCTGTGATGACTCCCGCTCCGGCGCTCCCCTGGGGTCCCCCTCCCTCACCCCCAGCCACTCCCCACCCCGGGGGGCTTGTGCAAGGCTCTGAGTGGAATACTGAAGACCCATCTGTCTGGCAGACGCGGTCGATCGATACGCACACGGGCACCGGTTTCAGGCCCTGCCTGTGACACGGGGTCTTAAATCCCGTGGAGGCCAAATTCCCAGCGGTCCCTGGGCGCCCGGACATGATGGTCCCGCTAGCGACCATACTTCCTTCCCGGCTGCTTTCTTTCCCATCGCTCTTACCCCCGTCCCTCCAGCAAAACAAACCCGCGTGTGGCTGTGGGAGGGGGGGGCCGTTCTGACACGTCTCCCAGGGAAATCCCCAGGCCCTGTGTTTCTGGATCCTTCTGAGCCCGCCCATCCGGGTCAGGGACAAAGGACAGCCTTGGGCCCCTGAGCAAGCAGACACGATTAGAAAGCTGGCTTGTCTGAGACCAGGCCTACAATCCAGACTGCACCTGTGGCCGCCTCTTCCCCAGACCAGAACAAAGCTGACGGCAGCAGAAGCTACCAGGATCGGTTCCTTCCCGGGGATGCTTGCTCCACGATCCCGCCGTTGGAGCTTGCCTGGCTGCGTGTGTGTGTGTGTGTGTGTGTGTGTGTGTGTGTGTGTGTGTGATCCTGAGGGAAGGGGAGGTGGAGACTCCGAGCTGGCTGGGTCTTTCTCGTGGCTCTGATGCACCGAGTTTGTGTCCAGCGTGGCTACGCTGTGTGCTGTCTGTCACCCCCACCTCAGCTGCCCTCTCTGTTTACTTATTGTAACGAAAGGCTTTGTCCCAGCAGCTGCTGGCCCTCTGGTCTCGGTGCTGTGGTATTTGGGAACAGCTGGGCAGTCACACGAGAAGAGGACTCCTTCTGTCCGGTGAAACACGAGCCCTGCTCCATCCTGGAGAACCAGCTCTGCCCAGGCGGCCCCCTCCAGTCCCCCCCCCCCCCCCATCCTGACTGGGCACGTCGTCGGAGCCTCCGTCCTCGGCCTCTACCGTGGACCAAGTCCTCTCCCGCGTTCACGTCGCTCTCGGAAGTGCGCACGTGCATAGTGCTACACCGCGAGCCACGCCGCCTTCTGCGGGTCCAGGCTGGCTGGCCAGGGATCCGCTCTGGAAGCAGCAGCTCGCGTACTTCAGCTCGGGACCCTGCGGAAGACACCGACCAGGGCGTGAGCCGAGACCCACTTTCCCACACGTCAGAAGACAGCTTGCTTTGGCGGGGTGCCGGTGGCTCACACCTGTCATCCCAGCTACTCGGGGGGCTGAGATCTGAGGATCGAGGTGCGGAGCCCGGAAGGTCTGTGAGGGCCAGCGGAACGCTGCGAGCAGAGGTGTGCGGCTCAAGCGAGAGAGAGGAGCGCGGGCCGTGAGCAGAAAAGGCCGAGAGATCCTGAAGCCTGAGGTTCAAGCCCCAGGACCGGGGCGTGTGCATGCGTGCAAGCGCGCGCACACACAATCCTAGCTGCTTAAGTGTTTCTTTTTTAAATCCCCCCTCGAGGAAAGCCTCATCCAGGCATTTCATAGCGCTAATCCGCCCGGTAAAACTCCATCCTCGACTTGGGAGCTCCATGGGAGAAATGCGAAGCGGGGAGGAAAACCCAGCGCCCGCGGCTGATGGATAGGGGCAGGGTCCCGGCCCTCCGTGCTAAAACCCGAGCCGTGACCCGTCAGACCGGAGAGCCCGCCGTCGCCGTCAGCATCCGACGACGAAGGAACCCATACAAAGAAAAGTCATAAAGCCACCGGGAGTCGGTGCGTGTGTGTGCTCTTGCAATTTCATTACAGGTGTGGCTTCTGCTAAAACCCCACTCCGGGCTGGGTGCGGGAGGGCGGGCACCACTAGAGACGGGGGGCGGGGGGGCCCAGGGCTTGGACATGTATCCAAGGACACCCGTGGTGATGTTCAGCCGTGGGGTTTGCTGACTCCGTGTCAGAGCCTTTCCCTTGCTTCCCGGCGTTTTTGCTCCTTTTTTTCTGCTTTCTTTGTGCACGACGCACAGCAAGTGGAGAATGGGAGGGGGGTGGAGACCGGAGGAAAGCTGCTGACATCACAATAGCTTTACAACTTTGCGACCAATAGGAGTCGGCGTTAGGGGCCCCTGCAGGGTCTGGCGGGGGCGGGTGGGTGCAGAAGGGACACTCGGATGTGTGTGTGTGTGTGTGTGTGTGGTTACCTGGCAGCAGGGGGCAGGGTGCGGGTCTGACACAGACACTAGGCCTTGGGCAAGCGCCCAGTGGATGCCACACCACCCATACATGCCGCAACGCAGGAGAAGGTACCCTCATTGGGGGGGTGGGCGCAGGAGGTCCGACAGAAAAAGTCCCTCTGGAGAAAAGGCCTCGTGGTTTCAGGGTAGGGGGCTCACAGGCTGTGGACACGGATAACATTCAAAAACAAAAACAAGCCGGGCGCTGGGGCTCACGCCTGTCATCCAGCTACTCAGGAGGCTGAGATCTGAGGATCACGTTTCAAAGCCAGCCCGGGCAGGAAAGGCTGTGAGATTCTGATCTCCAATAAACCATTCAGAAAACCGGAAGTGGCGCTGTGGCTTAAGTGGTAGAGCGCTCGCCTTGAGCCGAAGAGCTGAGGGACAGCGCCCAGGCCCAGAGTTCAAGCTCCTCGACCAACCAACAAAACCTGCCCCCCACCCAGGGCCAATCAACAAAGCATTCTGGGAAGAGGGCTGGCACCCCATCCACATGTGACTCAAGGTGACCTTCATGGCTGTTCTCAGCAGGTCTTCTGGTGAAGTTCCTATTGGCTTTCTAAACCAAAAGATCAATGAACAGAAGACAAAGGAGACCGCCTGATACCTCAGTTAACCCGATTCCTTTTTCTTACCCCCCCCCAACATTGTGGTTTATAATGTCAGCAGTTGTGTTCTTGGTAAACAGAGGTGGTTTCCGTGTGCTGGGGCACATGAACATGCCTTCCTGCCCCGTCCCCTCCCCTGTCCCCTCCCCCCCCCTGCTCTGCCCCCCTCCCCGTGACCCCAACAGTGACAAAACCGTCAAGAAACTTAAATTTGGTGCTGTTGTTTTGCTTTGGGCCATGGTTTCTGTAACATCCATTGCAGTCTTGGATTCCAAGGGGGACCCGGCTGCCTGGCCTGCCTCCCCATGTCTTCTCCCTGGGTACCACCAGCCGGGGAACGGGGGCCAGCCCACCCCCCGATTGGGAAGCTGGCACCGTACTGAAATGGCCTGAGCGCGCAGGGGCAGCCAGGCCGCTGGGCTGCACAGCCAAAGGCCGGTCCGAGCGGGGATCTGGGAATTGGGGGTGGGGCGCGTGTGGTAGCGCGGTGCAGGGGCTTGAACCCGTCACCCCGTCTTCCTCCTTTGTGCACGTGACTCCAGTCTTCCGGAAGGCGGGGGAGAAGGAAGGGTTAAATAAAAACCTGCGCTGCTGCTTCTCCACAAAGGAAGGAAACCGAGGCAGCTGCTCGGGACAGTTCACACGTGCACACAACTCAAGGTGTTCAGGCACAGATTTACACGCGGGAAAACAGGCTATTGATGGATGGAGCCGCTGTGTGCGGGCGGTGCCACATGCAGGTTTGTGAGCTCACACTGCGGTGGGCAAGTTCTTTCTGGTAACTTCCATGCCAGGCTGGGGTGGGGGACGAAATGAAGTTCAAGGGTGTGTGTGTACCTCCTGTCGGTGCCTTCCCCAGAAAGCAAAGGACCACCGACAAAAGCCACGGCTGGATGCCATTCTAGAAGCTTCTCTCCTGGTTTGCTTTTCAACTGATTTTTTAATTTTTTTCAAGTCAGACTCAAGCGAGAGACTGGCCAGGCCCAGGGACTGGCCGACTCCCCATCACCCCCCCCCCCCCCCCCCCCCCGCGCCCCCCACAAAGCTCGGAATTCCAGCTCCAACGTATTTTATTCAGTGAAATTTATTGTAAAAATAAAGAAAACTCAATTATTCCAGTTAAGGGATTTCACGTTAAATAGTTGTGTGTGTGTGTGTGTGTGTGTTTTGCTTGAAACTTTCAGTGGCCTCTGAAGAGCTGTGTCCCATGATGAGGAGGAATCTTCAAGGACAAAAGAAAAAAAAGCAAGAAAAGAGAAAAAAAGAAAAAGACAAGCGAACAATAAATAGTTACTTGCGTTAACGACACGTTACTGGATTAAGGGCGCAGGAGGGGCAGAGGCCGAGGACACACGTTCACCCCGCCTGGTGTGGGTGTGTGTGGTGGGTGTGTGTGCGCGCGCGCGGGCGTGTGTTCACAGACACTGGGCTGCATTAACACTGGCGGGCGAGGCCCTGGGCTGGGCGCAGTCCACTTCCCGGCCGGGGTTAGCGTCTGGCGTTAGAACTGTCAGTGACTCCACTTTTCTTTTCTTTTTTTTTTTTCCCCTCTTTTTAATGGTCATGATTTAAAAAAAAAAACAAAACAACAAGAAAAAAACAAAACAACCAAACGACCCCCCCCTCCCCCACAAAACAACAGAACCCCGCAGTCCTGGGGGTCCGGGGCCGGGCCTGGGGTCCGCGGCCGGGCCTGGGGTCCGCGGCCGGGCCTGGGGTTCGCGGGGCGCGCGGCTCCCGTGGCGGGCGGTGGTGGTGGTGATGTCCCGGGGAGGGGTGGGGTGTGCGGGACAGTGAAGGGGGTGTGTGTGCGCGGGGGGTGGAGGTGCACCCCGCGGTTCCAGGCCTCTCCCCGCCCCCCGGGCCCTGGCGCGCACGCGTGCGCCCCGCGTCTCCAAGGCCCCGCGGTGCGCGTCCTGGCGCGCGTGGGGTTCCCCCCCCCCCCCCCCCCGCGCGGGTCACCCGGCCTCCGCCCTCGGATTATGTGCAGGCGTCGGCGGGCTTGATGGCGGAGGGCAGGGGCGCGAAGGCGGGCTTGGGGGGCACGTCGGGCTTGAGCGAGGGCGCGCGCTGCGGGCCGGGCCGGCTCGGGGCGCGCGCGGGGATGGAGTCCACCCGCTGCGGGGCGGGCGGCGGCTGGTCGGCCCCGAAGCTGTGGTGGCGGGCCAGGCGCGAGGAGTTGGAGGAGTTGGTGTTGTTCCGCTTGAGGGTGGCGGCGTGCGGCCGCGGCAGCGAGTTCGTGGGGTAGCCCCGCGCGGCGGCGGCGAAGTCGAGGCCGTAGGCCGGGTGCGGCGCGTCCAGGCGCGGGCCCAGCGAGGCCTCGCGCTGCGGGACCTTGGGCGGCGGGCCGTCGGGCGGCGCGCCCGGCTCGGCGGGCGGCCCCAGGTCCTTGGCGCGGAGGCCGCGCTCCCACTCGCGGCCCGCGCGGCCCGGCTTGCGCGTGCGCGGCAGCGTGGGCGTGGACTCGGGTGTGGGCAGCGCGCCCAGGTCCGGCGGCGCGTGCGCGTGCGCCTTGGCCGCGCCGCCGTTGGGCATCAGCGGCGCCAGCACGGCCTCGGCCTTGGGCTCCTTGGCGGGCGGCGCGTCGTTCAGGAACAGGCCGCCCAGCTTGGCCACGCTGCCCGCCGAGCCGCGGCGCGCGCCCGCCGCGTCCTTGTCCTTGTCCCTGCGCGCCGCGCCGCCCGCCGCGTCCTTGCGCCGGTGGTCGCACACGCAGTACACGGCGATGCCCGAGAACACGGCGCCCGTGGCGAACGCCAGGATCACCGCCATGGCCAGCAGCGTCACGGGCACCAGCTGGTCGTGGCCCTTGAGATAGCTCTCCCGGATCACGCCTGCAAGACAGGGACACGGGTTATGCCCGGGGGGGCGCGCGGGGGGGGGGGGGTCTGGGGCGCGCGGGGCTCTTGGGGTGCGTGGGGGTCTGGGGTGCGCAGGGCTCCTGGGGTGCGCGGGGGTCTGGGGCGCGCAGGGCTCCTGGGGTGCGCGGGGGTCTGGGGCGCATAGGGGGGTCTGGGGCACGCGGAGGTCCTGGGGTGCGCAGGGGGCCTAGAGTGCATGCAGGGGTCTGGGGCGCAGGGCGCGCAGGGGGGGATCTGGGGCGCGCGGGAGGTCTGGGGTACAGGGCGCATGGGGGTCTGGGGCGCGCGGGGGGTCCAGGGGCACACGGGGATTCTGGGGCACACGGGGGACCTGGGGTGCACCAGGGGGTCTGGAGCGCGCAGGGGTCCTGGAGCGCGCGCGGGGGTCCTGGGGCACGTGGGGGTCCTGGGGCGCGAGGGGGTCCTGGGGTGCGCGGAGGGGGGGGTCTGGGGCGCACGGGGGTCTGGAGCGCGCGGGGGTCCTGGGGCGCGCGGGGGTCCTGGGGCTGGGGTGCACGGGGGGGCTGGGGTGCGCGGGGAGTCTGGGGCGCGCGGGGAGTCTGGGGCGCATGGGGGGCCTAGGGCGCACAGAGGGGTCTGGGGCACGCAGGAGTCCTGGGAGGCGCGGGGGGCCTAGAGCGCACGGAGGGGTCTGGGGCGCGCGGGGAGGTCTGGGGTAGAGGGTACATGGGGGTCTGGGGCGCGTGGGGATCTGGGGCACGCGGGGGATCTGGGGCGCAGGGTGCATGGGGGTCCTGGGGCACGCGAGAGCCTGGGGTGTACAAGGCCCACGGAGCAGAGGGCGCATGGGGCGCAGGGTACGTGAGGCCTGGGGCTCACGGGGTGCACAGGGCTTAAGGGGCACAGAAGGCGCACCTTTTACCGCCTCGACTTCGGGGCGCCCTGCTTGCCCCACCAGACCTAGGAACCCCCCCCCCCCCCCATCCCTCACTCCCAATCACACCCTGCCGGGTAGGTCCCAAACCAAAGCCAATCCATCCATGGGCCAACTTTGAGCTTTGCCTGGCTCCAGCAACTTCTCGCACAGAACACAGGAGGCGAGGCCCCGGGGGCCTTCCCACAGCATCTCCCCTTCCCTCTCCAACCCCTTCCCCAGAGCCCTGGGGGTGGGGGGGGGGTGGGGAGTTGTTTGGAGGCAGAGAGGCCCCAATTTTCTGCTGTGTTAAAGGAACAAATCGCTCAACAAGCCAGGCTCCCCGCGGGGGTCTGTGTGCAGGAACTTTCCCCTGACCTGGAGGCCCCTAAGCAGAGAGGGATGTCAGTAAATAAAGGCCCCGTGTCACCATGTTTATGCGTAGTTTGCATCAGAAAAGAACCGCTCCCACTCGGTTCACATAAATGGGCCCCATCTTTGAATGAATAAGTCCTAAGGTTATTTAGTGGGGGGAAGAGGGAGGGGGAGGCCATTTGGGTCCCTGCAGCTGGTTGGAGAAGCCTCAGGCCTCAGGATTCCCGGCTAGCAGACCCAGCCTCTCCAATTTGGTAAGAACAATGTGACCGCCCATCTTCCACCATACGTATGGTACATGAACCAAGTTTCTTTTCTTTTTTTTTGTTGGTTATGGGGCTTGAACTCTGGGCGCTGCCCCTCAGCTCTTCAGCTCAAGGCGAGTGCTCTACCACTTGAGCCACGGTGCCACTTTGGGGTTTTCCTACTTAGGTGGTGCTGAGGAATCGAACCCATGGCCTCATGCATGGGAGGCAAGCGCTCTACCACTGAGCCACCTTCCCAGCCCTGAACTAAGTTTCTGAAGTCGCTTTTCATCAGCCACGGAGCTGAGCCACCAGTCAACTGGGAACCAAGAGAGATTCCCCATCCCAGTAGTCCGAGCGTAAGTGCTTGAGGTGCATAGCTAGGAAGAACACAAACAAAATACAGTGAAATCCCAAACGCCTGCGTTCCTCCCCCTTGAGAGGGAAAGGACTTGTGTGGGTCGGAGACACCACAAACACACTGACCACTCCAGATACGCTCACAGGACGGCGAACGCACGCCTTCCCCCTGCCTCTCTCTGAGATGACGTGTGATGTGCTTTACGGGCAACTGTGGGCGGCGCAGAATTAGGATGGAGTGGACTTCAGGAAAACCTTCTGGCTCTTCTCCAGCCCTCTTGCCCGCGGGCTCAAGTTTTGGCTAGAAACACAGAGATCTCCTGAGGCAAAGGACTCTGGGTACGAGACACCCACGATCCCAGACTAACCTTCACGAGCTTTGGGAAACTGAGTCTGGGCGGGGGTGGCGGTGGAGGCAGTAAAGAAAGTCGGTTATAATTCCCACCTTTTTCCTGGCAGAGCTCCCCCCAAAGGTGGAGGTGGGGGGGGTGCCTTGCATCCAAATGCCTCCTCACCGGGCGGATGCGCTCATGAAAACCTCTAACATCTGCACTTCCTTGCTACGTTAAAATACCAACTGATTTTGTTTCTCTCCCTCCGGCGCGGATTGCGAGTTGGGTCTATTGAATGTTCTTTTTTTAACCACCGTCACGGAACTGCGTTCAAGTATGCACCTGTGACCAGGAGGAGTTTTAACTTCGCGCAGTGGCTTGGTGGTTTCTCGGGCGGGCCTAACGTCAGCCAGAGCCCCACACCCGACGGTGGGTAGTAAGGAAGGAAAGCTTTTCACGACAAAAGGGTATGTTGACGGGGTCCTTTAGGACCCCAACCCTTTAGGAGACCCAACAACCAGAAAGCCATCTTCGAGGGCCCCAGTTCTATGGATCTTGAGGTCAGGATGGCGGCGAGGTCTGGCGGGCCGACTTCCAGGAGTGGCCCTGGGCCGTGCGCTCTTTCCTCTGCCCTATTTCTTTTCCCGTGAATGTGCACAGCCTCCTTCCTGAGGTCTGCGTCTCTCCTGAATTGATGATGCTTCTCTTGCCAGGCTTGGGAAGGTCAGTCTGGCCTGTCCTGAATTTCCAGGGTCACTGGGGCAGCTCCGTCTTCTCAGCTTGGAAGAGGACGCTGTGTGCCTTTGACCTTCGCATTCTCCTGCGTGCGCTGCCCTGTCCCTTTGGTGGGGGACGCAGCAAGTCTGCTCACTCCCTGTTTATTAACCCCCGCCTCCCCTCTCTTCCATGGTAGTTGGGGGAAGGATATTGAGGCGATTTTGAGGACCAGGGACAGGGCGACGGGCGGCGGCCGGTAGCCTGTCCACTGTGGCCTGTGCGTGGGGCCAAACTAGCTATAAGGTGAGCCCAAGGGAATTATGGTCTTGGTTCTAGAGATGTGCAGTGGCGAATCCTGCTCACTTGCAGCTGGGTGGAGTGCATGGTGCGTGTGTCTGCGTGCGTGCGTGTGTGCGTGTGTCATTTGGCCGCACACGCGTGCCCGTGAAGGGGGATGTGGCCGCCGGCCCCTGGCCACCTCAGCTTCTGCAAAAATCCACCCTTCGCTCAGCCTTAAACCACGCGCAGCTCCGGTTAACTAACTTCCTCCGCCGCGGCCTTGCCTCTCCGCACGGGCTTCCGTGGCGCAGTGAACCGAAGGGAGGAGACCTCTGTGCACAAACGGGGCGCCCGCAGTTCGGTGTGGGAACTCTTCACACGTGTCCATCGCGCCTTCCTCTTCCCCTCAGGCCCTGCCCTGGTGACCTCAGACGCACAGAAAGCACCGGCTCTTTGCACCCGGACGGTTTTTTAGCGCCTGACATTTGGGTTCAGGTTTCCGGTTGTTCACAAGCAGGAGCTGAGCTTTCCGGGCAAAATGGTATCTCTGACTGGCTCTGTTTTGTTCATATGATTTTGTTATGCAAATACTGCCCTCAAACCCCTTTCTGCATCTCTTCCTCTTTTAGATGCCAGGGTGTGTGTGGCGGGGGGGGGGGGGTGGCTTTCCTCCTGTCCCTCCCACCCCCGGCAAATGAAAACTCCAGGCGCACCGGACGCCAGAGAGATCGGAGATTAAACTGAAAACGTGGTTGCAAATAAGAAGGCGACTGCGAGCTTGGGAAAGTAAAGTCCTCTGCTCATGCCCCGAACGAGGCAAAGGAGCCTTGGAGAGACACGATCCATCGGCTGCGTGGCCTGGCCAGGCTGTGGGGCCGAGGGCTTGCTTGGCCACAGGAGAGTCGAGGTCAAAGAAAGCCTCAGTTTCCCTCCAGCAGGCCCAGAGACCCTTTGACACACAATTTAACAGCTCTGGGCCTTATTATTATTAACATACTGACAGCCTACAACACACACAGTTAAAGTTAATAGTAACACAATCTTCCTGCCTTTAGAAGAATCGAATGAAAGCACACAGGAGTGATCCACGCGGGTAGATGATCACGCAGTGCTTTTGAAAGCCTGAAGATTTCCCCCCAAAAGCAACAACAAGCCAGGGGCCGACGGAAAGATCCAGAGGGGGCGGGCACATAACTGTTCCCGGGCCGTCCCATGGGCTCCTCTTCTCCCAAGAGAGGAAAGTAGCCAGGTCCCCCCTCCCGCTCCAAGCCTCGTCTGGCCCAGACGTGGTAGAAGCCACTCGAGAGAGCATGTGCATGCATGCATGTGTGTGTGTGTGAACTGCCAGGAAGGGCCTCCATGCAGAGATTGTTTACACAGTAGAACCAGAAAAATGTCGAGCCAACAGCAGCTCCGTTCTCTGCGGAGCCATTGCTCCCCTCAGATCCCGACAGCAGAACCGCGCGCGCATGGTCGTGTTGATGACCCTGCCGTCCCCGGGCTCGGCCGTGGAACAGAGGAGTGGGGACTATGTCCGAGCTCGGTGGGTTCTGGTCACACCCCGGGGATGGTAACCTTTGCTCGCAGGAATTACCTCCCGTCCCCTCCTGGCCTTTACAGACCGGCATCCATCCCACAAATCGAGAGAAATCCACGCGGGCACTCGGGGATGGGCTGGAAGCCAGAAAGAGAGACGCTTCTTCTACAAATGGAAGCGTCGCTGGCTCTGGGATCGTTGGGAGGAAGGCAGGGGAGGAAAACGGGTTATTTGTGAGGGCAGAAGGCTGGGGT